AAAGGTGATGCTAACGCGCCCTGGGATGAAGATCGCTGGAAGACGATCAAGATAACGCCTGATGCTGGTGACAAGCCAATCGTCCTGGATATCACGCAGCGATGCGCGCGCTGTCAGGTGCCTAATGTACATCCTGATTCGGCGGAGAAGCACAAGACGCAGCCTTGGGATGCGTTGATGAAATATAGGAGGATCGACGAGGGAATCACATACAAGCCCTGCTATGGTATGCTCGCTGTGCCGAAGTCGGTGGGGGATCTTAGGGTTGGCATGAAGTTCGAGATCACTGAGGTTACGGATAAGCATCGGTATATCGCTGGGTTTTAGGGGGTGGAGCTTGACGGTTTGTGTCGAGGAACCCTTACTGGCTGCTGCGTATATCGATGAGTCTGACCGACTCCCATTACAGCGGAAGCCATTGCGACACAGTTGTCGTACGACTCTCCACAAAGGTTGTACGGATGATCGGATCAGCACACAATTTCTCTGTTGTCAGCCTCGAAAATCTAAAGAAGCTAGCAGTAAGCTGCCCGATTTAGCCTTTGGAAGATCCTAGGTGCATCGATTTGCAGCTCCTGAAATCTCTTCAGATGATTGTTGGAGATGTTGCCCAAGCTACAGCAATCATAAGCGGATCCCCACGTAGTTCACATGCGAACAGCCATGTGCAGCGGCAATTATGACGAAGGTACCTGATGATCCATCGGATCTGCAAAGCAAAGACTGCCGAAGCGGCTCCGCCTCTAGCCCGCGTTGAGATTAGCGACGCGACGCGACAGACAGGGGTACGCCTATCATCGTGTCCATGGCTGACTTTCTCTTGAACTCAACTTCCCTCTAAGAAATGTAAGGGCTACACACAAGCCGTTTCCAACATGTTTCGCACAGTTGTGGATATACCTGTTGCGCGCGCGTGCAGAATGGCAGCGGCATTGTTTCGAAACAGAGAACTGCAACTCAGTGGAGATTACGCGCGTTCTTGATCGGACCGTGACGTGTGACGACGACTATCCGTGTTGAGACCCTGGCGTTTGGGACGCAGGGACACCAGACGGAAGGCACACAGAGGGGATACAGAAGGCGCGTCCCACCTGGCCGTCGACCAAGTATGACCACTTCCGCTTCCAGCGAGGGAGTCACAGGTCGTCGAATCGCTCTTTCCTTTCCACACCCACCATGGCAGGCGATGCAATGCTGGCATTGCCAATGTCTCCGACACAATCGCCCAAAGAGTTTGGAAGTGCCGCCGTACAATGGGCGTGCACACGAAGAGGGAGGATGATGGTCTTGACGATTGCACTTCTCACAGTCCTACTTGGACTGACGGGTATGAGGAATCATGAGGTACGTTCAACCTTTACAGACACCAGAGAAGACGACGTCGAGATATGCGACATACCCCGCCAGACTTGAACGTCATCAGCGAGGTCCAAGCTAACTCCAACAGGCCATATCTTCACGATACCACAACTTCTCCTCGTACTACTCATGGCGACCGTATCTCCAGCCCCTGCCCGACATCGTACACTCGCCGTTCAAGACCCCCTCGAACACGACGCTGCAGATCGAGAATGGCGAACTCGACCACGTCCCGCCGAAACTCAAGAAGACGACGCCCAACTTCCACCTCCTCATGCCTGCCGAGCGCGACACCGATGGCTTCTGCAAGACGACTCTGTCTGCTATGCTTCTCCACTACCCTCCACCGACTGCGGTACAGCTACACAAGCCATATGAGTCGGACATCAAGTGGGACAGGGACACACTGAACAGCACGCTGCATTACCTGAGCAATGAGAAGCTGGTCAAGGACCATGACTTGGTTCTCATCGTGGACGGACAACAGTCGATGTTCCAGCTGCCAAGCGATGTGATTGTCACGCAGTATAAGAGGCTGTTGGCAGACGCCAACATGCGGCTGCTGAAGAAGTATGGCGTTAACAAGGAAGGCTACCAGAAGTTCAACCAGACAATCGTGTTCGGCGCAGAGAAGATCTGCGAGAATGATGACATGGCCTGCAAGTACGTGCCTCAATCGATACTATCGGACAGCACATACGGAACCGAGAACGGTCGACGCATATCAGATACCCCTGCAAAGTTCATTCACTCCAAGATGGTCATGGGTCCAGCCAGCGACTTGAAGATGCTTTACCAGTTTGCTCTGGAGAAATATATGGAGGGGAGAAGTCAGTCCCAGACGGTCCAGTCGGTATTCGCGACTCTCTTCGCCGAGCAGCAGTTGGGCAGAGATGCGGAGGAAGTGGCATCGAAGCATACGGGTACCAAAGTCAAAGAATACCTCACGGGCAGAGCGAGCACGTCAGAAGCCAAGCGAAGACTGGAGCGTGCCAGCGCTGAGTTCTCGAACACTACACGTCATGAATTTTCTGTCGGTTTGGACTATACCCACGCGCTCTTCCAACCTCTGGACTACTGCGTCGAAGACGAACTTGCGCCTCTTCTACACGACAACTCGACCGACTTATCGCAATACAGTCGCTCCGACTCAGACGCCCGTTATCTCTCCCTCCCCACCGCCCTCAACGAGACCAAGACCCCATTCTGGCGCCCCGACTTCGTCGAGCACAACCCGTCTCCCAACGAAAAGCCAGCATACATTGACAACCTAGAGTTTACGCTCGAACTCGATGGCTTGCCCAGCCGGAAACTACCCTGGGATAGCATTCCATTGATCCAGAACACATACTCCGGTTCGGTTCCCGCCATTATCTTGGGCAGCTCTTCGCACTCGAGCGGCGAGCGTCCACCAGCTGCTAACATAACCTGGGATAACCTGTGGTACTCAGACCACAAACGTGCCATGCTGAGAAACTACTTCCGTGCGCCCCAGTCTTCAGACGGGTACCACAACCACCTCGTCGGCGGCGATCGCTACTGGGACAACCGCGGCGGACGAGGCGGCATATGGACTGAGGCCGAGCAGACCTGGTTACCCTGGGGCGAAGTCGATGGCGTCTGTGGCACCCTGCCTCAACTCAAAGAAATCTTCAACGATGGCAAGGGTGTGTGGCTTCATGAGCTCGAGCAGGACAACGAGCAAGGCCGCCTCAACGAACAAGAGGACCATCGGCAAAAGCAGGAAGAGGCGCGGCTCAAGGATATTGAAGAGTTGGTCAAGTTGGAGCAGGAGGCCAAAGAGAAGAACGAGCAGAAGGAGAAGGAGAGTATTGACTTTGAGAAGCTGAAGGAGCTTCAGGATTTGGAGGCTGGAGAGGAAAAGAAGGTTGAGAGGAGGAGGAAGAGGTGGAATGTTGTGGAGGAGTGTGTAAGATATTGTTAGTGGGTCGGGTTTCTTTTATCTGTTATATATCCCGGGCTTTCGCCGTCTTTTCTTTTCTTGTTTGTTTGATAGTCCATGCCTTTTCAGGTGCAATCTCATGATGTTTCTCGATTTTGGTAGTGTTGTTAAGTCGCTTTCATCGTGTCACTTGCGGTCTTGGTCAGAAGCGCCGGGTGTCATCTGGGCAAGCCATATATGCCTGGCTGACCTGCTCCTTACTGATATAAACGACAGACCCTGTCTCAGTTGCTTTAATAAATCAACTATGGCTAGCGAACCCTACGTGGAGATCTTCATCGACACACTCAGTTTCCTGTCGCTTGAGGACGCATCTTCGAATCTTCATGTCGAACTTGTTCGAAGAGACGAGGGAACTGCCACTGATGCCGAAGCACTGGAATCAGCCATGCGCGCAACTGTCAAGCGATACTGGGAGAATGGCGTAACCCTGGATTTGGACTCTTGTCGTTTGAAAGTGAACGCCTACGTCCCACAGACGAAGGCCGGTGCTGTGGATCCAACGGCCAAGTTCAAGGAAGACGTAGCTGGACTTCAAGACTGTAAAATCGTGTCCGTAGATGGACGCGCAGGTCTAGTTCGAGCTCGCGACGGTAAGCCAATACCACTGACAACGGAGTACTTGATATGACTAACAATAGCTTTACGCAGAGAGATTGGCTACATCAGTCGATGACAAGGAGTGCAGATTCATCCTTGTAGCTAGCATGACCACACCAGGACTACTGTTCCTCAAAACGGACCACCAGAAAAAGACCATACGATATCTACCCGGCTACGTCCCACTCAACGCTTCCAATCAGCGTATCGACACACCCATCATATCGGCACCGACAGCACCCTGTTTCGACGAGCTTAAAGCTCATGTAGACGGGAACGGGGGCCAGCGATGCTGCAACAACTTCCATCTGGGCTCCCACGGATGTGATGATGTGGAATGTCCGTTCGATCATAGCGATATCAGCGAAAACATGATGAGCGTCTTGCGTTTCATATGTCAGATAAAGCCTTGTCTAGATGGCGCTGCTTGTCGGAGAATTCACTGCTATTTTGGACATGCCTGTCGTTTTGGACATGCTTGTCATCGGGATGACTGCGGAGGCAAGCATCCAAAATGCAAGTTTCGAGACGGGGAACATGGGGTTGACCAGACGATTCATCATTGGGAGATGGGGAGGCTACATTATGATATATGCGTTTAGTATGCTTGAGTGAAAGGACAGACAGGGCGAGAATGGGTGGGATATGTCACGAGACGACGTTGTGGGTGTGCTGACATCTGGGGTGGGTTTGATAGGGCTTGGAGCATCTCAAGTAGTTCTGGGTATACGGCAGAGTGGATACGTAGGGTAGGCAACTACAATAACCACGTTTTGCAACAAGCGAAAGACCTCCGAGGATACGTTGCTACCCTGGTTGGGAAACAGAAAGAGTGAGGTATCCTAAAAATCCTCAAAAGAAGTTCAGTTGATACCATTAGGAGAGACATGACTGGCCAACCCACTTAACTCAACCACGGAAAGACATGAGCAATATGCCACAACACCAAATTGACACCAAATATATATTTGACATGCCGCACATACTTCTAAGCAACACAGATTTTCTCAACTCCAAAACTTCTCACTACCACTGCTCCAACTAAAACCGTCAAGCACCACCGTCGCCACTTTCTGAAATGTCCACCACACCACCCAAAACCGGCCTGCCCACCACCCGCCGCCTACACACCCCAAACTTCTCCACAACCCCTCTCCACGCAGAAGCCCTGTCAAACATCTACGCCCCCATCAGCAAAGACCTTTTCCTCTCCAAACCTCCCTCCTGGAAAACAGACTCCGTCGCGTCGCCCCCAAAATGGAAGGGCGAAAAACACATTTTCAAAGACTCCGCTTACTACACCCTCGACCCCCGCGGCATACTCCCCTCTAAGAAGATGCAAGCAGCGGGCCTTGTCGAAATGCCCTTCCAAGCCCCCTCCACCTTCCCCCGCCTTCTCATACGCCCGACGGAATACCGCGACGGCCCCGTATACCCTCAGTTTGGGGATTTCCGCATCGATAAATTGGTTCGGTATGGGAAGTCTAATGTGCAGGCTAGTTGCTCTTCCATCGGCACTAGCTGGGCTAGGAAACCTATTCAGGGAGCGGGATTAGTACCGGAAATGGGCAACATACTGTCTAATCCGCATATCAGGAAAGAGCAGTTTCCGGCGCCGTTTTGCGAGTTGCCAGATGAGCAGTTTAGGATGTGGTTTGTGAGGAATATGGGGATGGTGGGGTGGGGGGCTTCGGAGGCGGGGGTTGAGGCGGAGAGGGTGTTGGGGAGGGGGGAGGAGTGGACGGTGGTGGTTGAGCAGGAGGAGGAGGCGGAGAGGTGCTTGAGTTGTCCTTTGGCGAGAGAGATAAGGGTGAAGTTGGGTGAGATAGAACGGAGAAAGAAGGAGAGACGGCAAGGCAAGATTCAGAGGGCGGTGGAGAGGAAGAGGAGGTGTGAGGAAGTGAGGGATGATGTTTCCTTGTCGACAATGGAAGAAGAACCCGTGAAACAGGGAATGTATCCCGTCGAACGACGCGGAAAGTGGAGTTGGATAAAGAAGTTCTTTTGGTGGAGATGGTTCTCATCCTCCCATCCTAGCATCCATCCTACATAGCAACGCAACGCACCCACCCAATCTCCCCTTACATAACCTTCGGCTGACTCTCCGCAAGCTTAATCTTGCCCTGCTCATCATACACAATCTCCCTAATCTTAACACACCGCAGATGGTTAACCCCCTTGCTCAAACTGCTATCATGGTAAAACAAATACCACTTCCCCTTGAACTCCGCAATACTATGATGCGTCGTCCACCCAATCACCGGCTCCAGAATGCGTCCGCCGTACGTAAACGGTCCAAGCGGGCTATCTCCAATCGCATAGCACAAGAAGTGCGTATCGCCCGTAGAGTACGAGAAGTAGTACTTCCCGTTATACTTGTGCATCCACGCCGCCTCAAAGAACCTCCTATCGTGGTCCTCCGCCTGGATAGGCTGGCCCGCCTCGTCAAGGATAACAACATCCTTAACATCCGAGGTGAAAGTCGTCATATCATCCGAGAGCTTCGCTACTTTCGCGCAAAGCGCCGGTCCAGACGACGCCTCCATACTCTCGTAGTCCTCGCGGACAAACTTCCCCGTCTTCCAACACTGCAACTGCCCACCCCATATCCCACCAAAATACAAATACGCCTCACCATCCTCATCCACAAAACTCGCCGGATCAATACTGAAACTACCCTTGATAGGTTCAGCCTCCGGCTTAAACGGCCCCTCAGGCTTATCGCCGCTCGCGACACCAACGCGGAAGATACCCTCCTTATCGCGGGCCGGGAAGAAGAGATAGTATTTCCCGTTCTTGGATGCGGCGTCAGGGGCCCAGAGTTGTTTTTGCACCCAGGGAATGTCTTCTTGCTTGAGGGCTACGCCGTGGTCGGTGACGGGGCCGCCGACTTCTTCCATGCTGAAGACGTGGTAGTCGTTCATGTCGTATTGGTCGCCGTTGTCGTTGTCGGCGATGTCCGTCTCGCGGTCGTGCGAGGGGTAGACGTAGAGCTTGCCATTGAAGACGTGGGCCGAGGGGTCTGCGGTGAAGACGTGGGTTACGATTGGTTCTTTGTCTGCCATGATTGTGTGTTTTTGTATGTATGGGTTTCAGTTGATTTGGTTGATGTTGAAATAGATAGTTGGATTGAACTGAAAAAAAGCAGCAATGTTATATAGCTATACGTTGCCCTTCCCCATGGGCCCTTATGAATGGAGGGGTAGTCTGCCCCACGATGCCGCCAGCCGCTCTGCTATTTACCCGGCGGGACGGCTATCCTGAAGCCAAGCAAATTGCAGTTGGATCCAAGACGGTCATACCACTTAGTATTGCTCAATCGCGGTACAATGGTGTCCGCTGTGGATGAAGAGATGGATGGAAGTTCGGCGTGCTGTTTAGCCGTCTATTCTTCCGCCCGCACAAGCGCGTGCTTCTAGTGCTAACTGCTAATCTGCCTCGGGTCGGCGGGCGTCATGCGCTGCAACCGCGGGAGTCAAGTTCGCGCAAGATGCAGATCCAGGGTGCGGGTGACATGCAGGGTAAGAAGTTGTTACGTGTATCCAAAGACGACTTTGTAGGGTTCCTGCTTTTTATACCATGACCGATATCTATATTACTACAATTACACATGCACGACCGTGAAGACATCCAACGACGTCGCAACCTGGAAGCTGCATCGGGGTATTAAATGCTCAGCCCAAACGCCATCGCTACCCAAGAACGTGATATTTCTTCTTCCTCGACAGCAGTGGCTGGGGTTTTGGCGCACTTCTACCTGTCAAGATCTCGATACCACCGTCCATATTCGGCGGACTGCGTGCAGCAGTGCGAAACGCACTCGAGATCCTCATTCCAAGAACTGAACTAGACGTGCGTCGGCGCGAAGTTGCCGCATGCGTAGGAACGGACTGCGTCTCTTTCAAAGTGAACTCCTGCAGCTCTTCAACAACGTCATGAAGGTCCCGGCGTCTGCCCTCTCCCTGGCAACGGGCCGCTCTAAGGCACGTCAGCACACCTGCAAACTCAAGCAAGCGACAAAGCGCCAGGCTCAGGTCTGTAGGGTCTGGTACAACTTCATGGTCTTGTTCCGAACATCGGCACACTGCTGCAGCGCAGTGATGTGCTTTTCTTGCGCAAGCTTCCATGTTTCCATGACACTTTCATCCTCTTCCATCTTGGCCATGTAGCTCGCAAACCCAATTCCCCTGGTGGTCTCGCCGCGCTGGTGGATGAAGTGATGATCCAAGGCTTCCATCTCGCTACTCCGCGCAGCAAAGTGACTAGTAAGGACTTGACAGTAGGCTCGGTAGGATTTGACATAGACACCCATACGGTCGAAGTACGTGTTTACAGAAGCCACATCCAGCTTGGTAGGTGGGACAGGTGCACCGGGTATCTCTGGATACTTGAGATTCTTTGCAGCGTTTGCCTTGATGGGATGTGAGCTGGATGCGCCGGAAGGGAAAGGGAGAGCATCCATTACAGATCCCAAGCCGGAAAGTCCGTTGTTTTGAGGCTCCACGACCGGATTGATCATGTCTGGACCAAGACCGTTCAATCCTTCGGCTGGTGGTTTAGCAGTGGTCGCAGAAGAAGGTGCAGTGGCAGAGCCATTCGGCGTCGCCTCTGCACCTGCCGTATTCAATCTCGGTGATGTACGCGTTCCCTTCTTTGCGGGCTTCGCGCTTGGTGGTGGGACAGGGTCGATATCCATGGCATCTACATCACCATTTGCTGGCTCTTCTGCAAAGGCCTGGTACTTGGACCTCGCTGAGTCGGTTGATTCCTGCGGCTTCGATGCTCCGTTTTGCTGTACCGAAGCCTTTCGCGCAGCCTTTGGACGTTTCGTAGCCTCTGATGGTCGACGCGGCGATGTCTCCTTCTCCTGGTTGTACACCCAGTTCGGATCTTTGAACGTCTCTTGCCAGGCTTGAGGACTGAACTTGGCAGTGTGTGGCGCCATCTTGGGTGGGGCGAAGTTGACACCCGGTGGTGGTCCCGGTGGAGGAGGAGGTATTGGCTGTCCGTTGGGCGCAACGGGAGGCGGGTCCATCGGCCGCGTGCTGAAGGGGTTGCGGTCTGTCGCATTCCGCTGTGATCTGCCGCGGGTTGGAGAGGCTCGGCCTTTTCCGTTGGCACCTTTTTGCATGTTAGGAGCAAAGTAACTGCCACTGCCTTCGAACTTGCCATGCCAGTCCGAAGGCGAGAATTTCAAGTTGATGCTTTCTTCACTCCTGCTCTTGAAGCTGTTGGGTATGTTCCCTGGCACGCCGTTGCTCTGTCGTTTCGGATCAGGAGTCGTGAAGTTACCTTCTGACCAGGTTGGCGGAGGCGGTCTTGTGGTTTGAGGTGGTGGAGGAGGGTCACGGTGCTTGTTGCCAATGTTGGACGCTTCCGAGTCGGATTCTTCGTCGCTAGAGTCGGGATATCCATGAGCGAATGGGTTCGGCTTCGCGCTGGCCTTCTTCCCTTGTGTTCTGCGACCCGAGTCTGAGAAGGCGCCCCCATCTTGCGAATAACTCGCTCGGTGCGAGTGTGTGGGTGAGTTGCGCACACTGGACGACCGTCCAAGGCCTTCGAACATGGAGGTACGCTCGCCTGCTACATGGGAGTGATATGGTGTGCGAACGCGGTTGGCCTCTGAGTATGGGACGTCGTCGGCATGGCTATCCATATCAGGAGTCGTGGACATGGGTGGGGTTGGAGCCGGACGGGCATAGTTCCTATACGCTGACCGTGCCTGGCCTTCATCGACGCCTGGTGTTGATGGGTCAAACCCAGTCTTGGACGATGGGACCCTGGTGCTCTGACTGCGGCCAAAGGGGGTGCCATTGGGGTTGTTCTGCGGATTGGTATGCGGACTGCTCTGGGCGCTTGGGTTGTGCTGCCGAGGGTCCTCACCCCGTGGCTGCTTCATCTTCTGCCATGCCGTGAAGACGTTCGCGCGAGCCTCTGCATCCCTGGCCTTTGTGTCCGGTCGTTGCGCTGTTGGTGGCGCGCGGAAGTTCCTGCCCGAGAACCTGTCCGCACCGGTGTTGTATGTGCTGTGGTGTTGCTGCGGTGGGGGAGGGCGCTGGGCTTGCGGCTGCGGTTTCGGCGGAGGTGCGCGATAGTACGAGCCTTGTGGGGTGGTTGTCGTGTATGCATTTCTCGGAGGCGGCGGCGGTCTCGTTCGCGGCGTGTTCGGAGTGTGACCAGGAGCAGATACATTGCGGTATTTCCTTCTATCGGCGTCGTACTTGGCTCGTAGGTTGGCATCGCATAGTATCTCGTGTGCGGCCTGAATCTCTTGGAAGCGGACGACGAATTCGGCTTCGCGCCCGGGGTTTCGATCTGGGTGGTACTGTAGCGCCAGCGTTCGGAAAGCCTTGCGGATCTCGTTCTCGCTGGCCGTCGGGGATACCTTCAGGTCGGCATAGTAGTTTCGCGTGGCATCGGCTTTGACCATGGCGGCGGTATTGGCGAAGAGACGGGAGTGAAGAGGCTGGCGGGAGGTTGCACAATGCGCGCACTCTGCCCTTGTAGGCAGCTCTAGTCGTCAAGCAGCCTGGTGGGGGTTGCCCGTTGACTGCCTTGTCGTGTGGCAGGGCAGTGCTGCTCAGATGATGCTGGCTGCGCGTGGACGTCGGAACATGGTAATGGAAGCTGAACCACGGAAGCTGCAAAAGTCTGGATTAATCACTCTGTCAGCCGCATGTCGTCAGTGTTGCAGAGAGTGTGGTTACCCTTTGCGTCTATTGGAGCTGCAGTCGCTTGTTGCGCTGGCGAGGTGCTCTGCATGTGTTTTGGGCTGATGTTTTGGCTGAGAGGGGCCTACGGCAACGCTTAGCAACGCCCGACCTGGCCACGAGAAGAACCCTGTATTAATTCCTTCTGGGCTCTCGAATGTCATCTATGTCGCAATCATCCAAGCACGCACGGAAACGGTCACAGCGAGTACAGCGCATTAATCTTGGTTTTGCCGTACGTCTGACGTCGATGGTGCAGCTGTCTTACCAATACCGGTACCGGTCAGCCACCCATGTGAAAGTCCTGTATTCGTTCTTGGCTATAGCAAGGCATACTCGCTCCTCCGAACATGGTCAATACAACGCCTTCCTCAACCGCAGCAGCGTCTTCACATTTGATCCCCGACATTTCACATTGCAATAGATAAAAACTGAAGTGTTGTCTTCGTAAAGATCATGAATCCGGTATGATTTTGAAAGTCCTGACAGCTTTTTTGCTGCTAGGAAGCTACGTAGCCCAGGACACCCTATGCCATTCACGCCAGCCCATACGCTGAAAACAATCGACCAGACGTTGCACCAAGCACACCATATGCTCAATGCATTTAACGGTAGCGCCAGAGGGAGAGGGTGTTGTGCCTCTTCCAGGTCTTCCTCCTTCCAGCAGTGGTGTTGTTGAACTTGTGTCCACGGCCGAGACCACGGCTCTTCTTGCCGGTGGCGGTGAGACCACGAGCCTCGCGGTGCTTGTGGACGGCCTTTGTGATCCAGTTGATGCGAGGATCGCGGCGGATGGCCTTGTGCTGGGGGTCGACGCAGATGACCTCGTAGTACTTGTAGGTCGAGTCCTGGTTGATCCAGTAGGAGTTGAGCACGCGCAAGTTGGCGCAGCGGCGGCCGATACGCTCCTCAGCGGTGGACTTGAGAGAGCGCTGGTACTTGAGCTGGTTGATACCCTGGTTGGTAGGCTTTCCTGTTCGATTGTCAGTTTTTTGTTCCATAGCAATTCGGTTGCGTGTTGCGTACCGTAGGTGGCGCCCCTAGAACATAATGTTAGCATAGTCCTCTTGTTCAAGATGACGATTGCACGTACTTGGGAGCCTGCCTCTTGCGACCTCCACGGCGGACGCGGATGCGGTAGATAACGTAACCCTGCTTGGCCTTGTATCCGAGACGGCGGGCCTTGTCGGGGCGCGAGGGGCGGCTTGCGCGGTGGATGACCTTAAGTTGGCGAAGCTATCGATGCACTCTCAGCAAAGTTCAACGAGTACACCAATTGAGACATGGGTCTCGGGATAATCATACCTCCCAGCACTGTTGCAATGTTAGCAGAGTCCTTTGTCCAGCTCAATCGGTTGTACGTACGCGAACGCGCATCAAGAAGCGCATCATGTCCGACTGCTTCTTCTTCTGAAGTTCTTCGACATCTACGGCGGATCAGCTACGAGCGGGCAATTGCGGTGTTCGGTGTGCGCTTACACTTGAGGGCACCCATCTGCGGTATTGTTAGTATAGAGTCGACGAGATTCAGCAATATCGGAGGGACATACCTTGACTGTTGGTTAGTAGATTGTCGACGCTGTCGTGCTGGAGGTTGCGAAAAGATGATACGACAGGTATTTCGCACTGTGTGGGCGGGGCCGTGCGAGGCGCTAGCTTGACGAGGCAACGCGCAGCCTGACACGAGTCGGTCAGAAGAACATGGCCCCGCCGGGCCTGACGGAGGAGATACGAACACCAAATCTTGGGAAAGTGCAGAGGCGATGTTCTCATCTGGCTGCATGTGACGAGAGTAGAGCGATAAAGCTTACAGATCTGTACTTTCATCCATGAGCCATGTTCGGAAATTGCTCTTGCGTGGGTTGGAATCTGGTGTTCTGCGCTGTTCGATGTATACTCCGAATTAGGAAGTTCTTCAAGATCCGTCGATTGCTGGTGTCTGCATTGTTACCACGGGTTGTCTGAACCACATGCCCATGTACCTCATGTTCCTCGTGCCCACCCACACATCGCCTTGAACACCACAATAGCGCTCATACCTAGCAGCCATCCCTTATCGGCAATCCCTTGACCATCCTCTTAACACCCCTCTCCGCATACCTCAGACTCTTCTGCAGCTCATAGTTCAGCTCAACCTTCTCGCCTCCCTCCATATCCACATCGCCATCTTCGTCTGTCATCATAGAGTCCTCCACATCAGCTCCCAGCACCTTCTTGACATTCCTCAGCGCAACTCTCGCGCCCTTCTTGAGCTGCTTGTCCGTGTCCTCGATGTCCTGCTTCCATGTGTCTGCGATAGTATCGGGCTGCTCTTCTCGTAGTTTCGCAATCATGCCGTCTAGTCTTTGGTATTCGTTGACGAGGGCCTCGGATGCGCGTAGGACGCTGGTGACGGAGGTGTAGACTGCGTTGCCTGCAATTTGTGTGCCTGCGAAGGTTTCGGGCTTGCCCTTTGCTGGTCGGTTGGGGGTTTGCAGGGCTTCGAAGATGGTGGAGGTGAGTTCTTCGCGACGGCGCTCTGCTTCCTTCTCGCTAAAGTAGCTGTTAGAGTAGCATTGCAGATGATGAGGGATTGACTCGCGCTTGGAGCTTTCGCTGTGCTAGTAGTGCATTGTACTTCTTCTGATCGGCATTTATCGTGGCACGGAATTCCTGCATCTGGGTGTCATCTTTCTTTGGCTTCTCGAGAAGACGACTGAGTGAAAGCATCTGCTGGCTCTCAGGCGCGGGTGAGGCATGTCGGCGCGCCATGGTTGGGATGGTAGGGTTGGTATGTGAAAAGGTGAGATGGTATGGCAGATTGGTGAGGAAGGAGCCATCCGGTGTCAATATTTGAGGTAGGCGTGTAGACCACATCACATTTTTAGTTTACAGAAAAATCCTGAAATATAGGCCGGGAGGATCTCAATCAGCCCACGGGCTTCAGGAATTTTTTCTCTGGGGTGCCGGGAGGTAGTCAAGGTGTTGAAACACTTCACGAAAATTAGGCCAGGAGGTATTCAGTGATTTTGGCAGGGTCATCTCAAACCTGATATATAGGCCTGGCAGATACCACAACATTCACAAAAGACAGTTTTTTGGTGCCAGAAGCATTCTCATTTCGCCATTTAGGCATGATATATAACTAAAATACACGCATTCATGGGGAATTTTTGGTGGTGAAAGCAAGAAAAATCAAGAAAAATCAGGAAGGGGAAATGACTTGCCTCACCGGGCAGTCTACATAAGCCTTGGAATCGTGGGTGAAATGAAATTGAAAAGGAAATACCATATAATGATCAACAACCGAAAAGAAACCTTGAAGAGAACTTGACTTGGCAGTCAATTCTGTCTTCAGTTACCGAAAGACAAGTTGTGCATAGCACCATTCAAGGTGCTGTCAGCGCCAGTGTTGGGGCGACCACGTCCTCCTGAGGCGCCATAGTATCCTCCAGGAGCAGCTGAGGTGTACTGGGCGTTGGCGTAGGCGTTGGTGTAGCCACCGCCAGCAGAGTACGAAGCGCCACCGTTGTACGCGTTGTGATGCTGATGACCGAAGGCGTGGCCGGTACTGGAGGTGTAGTTGCGCGAGGCAGCGTATCCAGCAGTAGTTGTAGCAGGCCCATACCCTCCACCGTATGACGAAGTGTAAGTCGAAGGTGGATAGTAGGCTCCAGCTCCGTAGTTCATCGGGCTGCCGCTCGCAGTGACGTTAGGGTAGTAGTTACGGTACATCTGCTGCTGCATCTGCTGACCGTGGGACCAAGGCTGCATGTTGTATGAGGGCTGGGTAGGGTAGGCCGGGATCTGGTGGGAGAACGCGTGGAAGCCGTCGTCGTAGTTACCGTAGTTGCCCTGGGTGCGAGCTTGACCTGAGCGATAGTTAGCAATCATACACACGTAGCAAGGAGATGACGATGGACTTACCGTACTGCTGGGCCGGGCGATGGGTGTTGGAGCCGAAGCCGGGGCCGACAGAGGAAGAAGCGTTACCGTTGTTGGATGTAATGATGGCTCCAGGACCGATAGCAGAAGGCGGGGGGATCTGAGACATGCCGGCAGGGTTGACGACGGAGGCGGGGTTGACAGCCGACATCCAGATGCGGACCTTGTACTGCTTGAAGAGATCGGTGACGAGCTCGTTGAAGTTGACATACGACTCGGCGTAGTAGAAGTAGGTGAGCTTGTGGTAATCACTGAAGATGTTAGTATGATCAAAGCAACATGAACATGTTTGACTTACGCCTGGTACTCAGCATCGAGGATCTCCATAGGCAGCTTGTGGTCAGCGGCCTTCTGAGCTCCGAGACGCTTGGCCTTGGCCTCTCCACCCTCCTTCTCACGTAGCGCAGAGATCTCATGGGCCTGAGCAAGACGCTTGATCATCTTCGGCTTGAACGGTTCTGGCTCACCCGAAGCAGTCACTGGGGTACGGCTCATGGGGTTCGGGAATCCGTTAGCACGGGCGAGGGCGCCGAGCATGCCGGAGTCGTTCTGGGTGCCGGCCAGGGAGTACTGAGAGAACATGACGAGCCAGCGGAAGTGCTCCTCGTTCGCCTCAACCTTGAGCTTCTTAGCCTCCTCCATGGTCAAGTCGGCATGAGTGATCTGGCCCAGGTCGCATCCACGGTCGCCTTCGGTGATGACAAGGTCGCCACGACGGATCTCGAGGCCGGTGTTGTCGTAAAGGTAGTAGATGTCGGCACGAGAGCACTTGAAGGTGACAATGTACAAGCGGCGGGTGGGGTTTCCGATTCTAGGAGGGACCGCGTAAGGGTTGCCAGCAGACATGGCCATGTTGGGCACGACAGGATCGGGGTGAGCTGCCGAGATGGCGGAGGAGTTGATAGCGCGCGAGGCCGGGCCGTAGCCAGTGAAGTAGGCAGAGGCGTCGAAGGGCTCGTCGTCCTTGTTGCCACGTGGGCTCTGGCGGGGTGAGACGTACTCCTCCTCTTCTTCCTGAGTGTTGCTCAAGGTTGAGAGCGGCATGGCTGAGTTGTAGCTACCGTAGTGGGCGAACGAATGACGGCGGCCGAGTGGGTCCATCTCAGCAGGTGAGATGTTGCCTGTGGTCCACTGGGGCTTCTGAGGGCTGTCCACGATCTCGACTTCGTGATCACGGTTGAGCACACCAACGTGCTCGCTGAAGCGACGGGTAAGGCCTGGGGCAGGACGGTTGACCGCAGGCTCAGTGTCGTCGAGCTCTTCGATGGCATACTCACCGGCGGCGTTGTACGAGGTGTTGCGCAGACCGGCAGTGGTCTTGCGGCGCTGCTGCTGAAGCTGGGAGACAGGGGAGCCAGTGGAGGTGGCCCTGCTGCGGGCACGAGCGTTCTCCATGGCGGCTTGTTTGAGCAAGGCTTGTTTCTGCTCACGCTCCCAGTAGCCGGCGGGTAGGCGGACTCCGTGCTCTGAGCCGTTGGAGGACTCGATCTCGTCGGCGTCGTCTTCACGCAACTGCGAAAGGCCGACAGCGGACTCACCAAGAAGGCTGGGCTTGGATGGACGGTGGCGGAGGTTGGCGCTGGTGTTTGGCTGACGCGAGAAGCGGCTGACAGGACTGTGCTCGATATCGCCTTGACCTATGCTATAGGATTGCGAACGGACAGCCTTACGGAAGGGGTTGGGAGCTTGCTGGTTGAGCAAAAAGCCGATACCGTTACCGTCGTCGCCTTCAACTGTGGTGGGAGAGGGAATAGGCTTGTCGGTAGGAGCGAAAGCAGAAGTAGGGGAGGGAGCGATCTCTTTGTTGGGTCGATTCAAACCGTTGAAGCTAGGCGTATTCCAGGGGAACGACGACGTAGAAGGGCGCGATTGTTGGGGCAGCTCCAGTGACGGCGTAGTGGGCTGAGAACCGGCAAACGACACCGAGGGCAGCGAGAACTTCCGGTTGGGCTGGATGTCCTGGAGCCAACCAGAGGAAGGACGTCGAACTCCAAGAGGGTAGGAGCCTTGCGCAGGGCGAGTAACGACTGGCACGTGCTCGCGGTCGTCGTCGCTGGACGCCAAGACATCGCTGTCAGGGGTGGGACGTCGGAGTTGCAACTTCGACTTCTCGAGTGCTGAACCACCGACGGTCAAGCCGCGGTTGTAAGGATTGTTACTCATCATGGATGATCTACTTTGAAGACGTCAGTGATCTCCTTGTCATGGATGACAGAACAGTGGCTGGACGTACCTTGGAGACTTGCAGGAACGGAGATGAATAGGGGGGTGTCTTGATGCACACTACCTGCACACGGAAGATATCTGTGATGCACAGGGTAGATGCTATGTTGCGTGGTCGAGGGTGTACGAAGATGTAATGTCTAGGCAGGTGGTGTGTCTTTATGTCTCCTTCACCTCTAATCGCAAACGCGCAATATGTTAGCGCCGACGTCATCAGAAAGGGCGATAAGGAGCGGGGTATTAAAGGTGAGACAGGTAAAGGCAGCGGTGAAGGTAGACGTGAGGGCTACGTGGGGGCAAACGGTGAAGGTGGCCAGCCAGCGAAGGTGAAGGGCGGGGCACTCTGATGGCATGCGGCCGGACCACGATGCAAACCATGGGAGCGCCGAACGTGCCCGAGAAGCGGAAGGTGCTGAGATAAGATGAGAATACATACCTGGACTGTAGATTTCGGAAGCAGATGTGTCTATCGCTAGATGCGTACTTGACGACCTGAAGACAGCGTGTATGGTGCTGATGCGGCACTTCAGGACGTTTAGGGGTGGTAGAAAGCCGTGAAGCAACCGTCTCTGCAAGCAGAATCGGATGCAGGGCGTGGTGAGGGTTGTGGGAGTGAGATGATGGGAAAGATGGTGGTGGAGGAAGAAGGAAGCAGAAAACGACGCCAGCAGCGGGGTTTTACGAGCCAGCACCGAAATGCGACAGTCAGCTGGCTTGATTACCGCCTTGAAGCGCTGGAGGAAAGACCGTTGGCGATGCTCGAGGCAGGAACGCCGTGCACGGATGGCTTTAGAGATTACTGTCGGCCAGTCGTCTTAGCAATGAACATAGGGGCCAGGAAGAGGCCACGCTGAAGAATAACAGAATGAAGACAGCAGAAAGCTTGAATTGCTCCCAATGATCCTCCTCGTAGGAACGTAGAATGAGATGATGCTGCTGTTCGAGTGACAATGCTCAGGAGAGTTGGCTTGCTGTCGCCCCGCCCACACACACCATCTGGACACCCCCGAGAACTTGATGCAAGCAGCTCTGCCCGTCAAAACATCCTACAGAGACTCTTCCGAGGCCAATAGGGTGCTTCTGCATGTCCAGAGTCGTGATGCAGTGCGTGGTGTTGACGGCGCTGACCTGCTCCCGCACAACCTCGACTCCGCCAACGCCGGTACATACCCCGACATCTTCCACAACACCACTCGCCCCCGAAGAGCGCGCCTGAGAACCATACGCAGGGACGCTTACACCGAAGAGAGCAGCTGCAGTAAGGGAAAGAAAGAAAGAAAGGCTGACTCTGCTTACCTAGTTAACAGAACTTTGTCTAGAGAATTACGCGACGCGGAGCTCGATGCCCAAAGCAGATCTATCGGGAGAAGGGCGGTATATCCTATCCAACATCGTCAGCCTCATGGTAGTTGCATACACATGCACGACATCGCAGAGCCTGGATACGCCGCAGACCCGCCGCCGCAGCAGACGGGCGCGACGACGACGTGCGCACGACGCGGAATGCCAAAGGAAGGGGTACATACCTGGTATATTCTATCCCACAATGACTCTATTCAAACAAACTGATTTGGAAGCCAATTAGCACTGGACGAGAGCCCCAA